AAGGTTCACATACTTTTTCTTGTAACTGTAGATTGTTACTCAGTGTCTTCAGCAAAAAAAACAAGGGCTTCAAAGGGTTGGAAAGAAGTGGGAGCTGCCTGGCAGCCTGTGCAGTGGATTAATCAGAGGTGCCAGACCTTGCATCCAGTGTGCAAGTTGTCTTGGAGACTCTTGTCTGGGCTTGCCATACCCAGTCTGGGCCTTTCATCTCACCTGGAGCAGACCCCGTTTGCTGGACTGATCTCCCCACCACATGCTTTGGTGACAGTTTCTCCTTGAGAAGCTAAGGAGAAGGCAACCAAGAAAGCAGCAGCAAACCTGAAGAAGCCCAAGGCCAAGAAACCTGCCTGTGTCACCAAGAAACCCAAGAAAGCTGCAGCCAAGGAAGGGGGTCTGAAGGAAGGCAGCAGCAGCCTCTGTGGCCAGGAAAGCCAGTAACAGTCCCCAAAAGGTGAAAACTGGCAAGTCCAAGAGGCAGCTAAGAGCTTGCAAAGTGGAAAGGGCCAGGCTCAAAGCGTCGAGTCATACAAGCATTGCTGTTCATAAATGTGGTCTTCACACAGACAAACAAGATTTTAGCTTCCCCTTATTTAGAGGAACAAATTTCGTCTTTGGAAACCCTCCTCTACAGAGCTCTACTTACTTGTTTGCAGTTTGACAAGTAGTCTGTGGAGAGGGCTAGATTTAATGCTTTGGTCGTGTTTGGAAATAAAAATAGTAAACATCAAATAAAAGGTAAATAATGTAAAAGGTAAATCATATAAAGGGAAAATGCCGAAGAAGCTGTTGGGCATTTTGAGCACTGAAGAATGAATGAACTTGGCTAATAAATGTGTGTATGTGCATGCATGTTCATGTACATATATCTTCTAAAAACAAGTTCTTCTGGGATGGAGGTAGTCATCTTCAGGGGAGTTACTGAGAAAAAAAAAAGAATAGATAGTTTTATTTAGACATTAAAGCAGTCAAGTAACCATCTTTCTATGTTGGTATGAAGCTTTCTGACTTTTTTCTTTTAGGTGTCTATCTACTGTCCACCTCTCTGTGTAGCAGGGTATTTGAGAGATGTATGCAACTGTGTAATTGTTTACAGCTCTTTTGTACAGGGCAACATGCTACGAGATGGAAATGTGAGCATATTTGGTTTCTTTGACAAAGAGGCAGATCTGTATTGTTTTAGTCTAAATTAAGTCTACACTAAGTGGTGCAAACAAGATACATATCCATAGGCTAAGAAGTTAATTAAATTAGGCACTAGAGGGAGTTTGTACACTTTCCATTGAAGGAAAACATGCTGAAAAGAGCTTTAAGATATTAGCTAGCAGGTTTTGTCCTGGGGAGTGTCAGCTTCAATGGCTGACGACAAACATGGGGCAAGAAGGTGATACTCTGGTGCCTCCCACAAGCTTTTTCTCCTTCCTCGTGTCCTTAAAAAAAATGTGACTTTCTTATATTTTCCTGACTCTGACAAGATATCTTGATGCCTTTTTTGTTCATATCTACAGCATACAGTAAACCTCATTTGATACCCCATCAGTTCTTTGAACCTGAAAGAGTCAAAGACTTGAGCAGATCCTCTCCTCTCCTGTTGTCTGAGGTAGGCTAGATGCCAGAAATTGCTGAAATTATGTTCACAGCATCCCCTGAATGGAAGCTGGTTTCATGATAATGTTTCTTCTGGATGACAACAGTACTTTCTTTAGAGCATGCCTTTGTTATGTCAAAATAAATGAGGAAAGCCTTAAGAAAAAATCCCCCAATAAGCCAGACCAGACCTTCTATCCCAGAGGAGTTTTAGTGTTTTCCTCTGTCTGAAACCACACTATTCCGTGCCCTTTCCAAGAGCCTAGGTGGTTGCATGCAGCTCTGTTTGGAGTTAATGATTACGTTCACTGCCGGTTGGAGGGAATGCCTCTGGGGAGACTCCTTGCACTCTCTTCTGCTCTCCTAACCTGATCACTGCTTGATGGGACTCTGCTGAGCTGTTGTTTTCATCTCTGTAGCATTGAAAGGTGCTTCTGTGGCAGAGCTTAAAGATGCTTGTTATTTTCTGAGCAGACTGAATCAGACACGGCCTCAGAAATCAGCTTCCAGTTTAACAAGCACAAAAAGACGCCTAGCATTGGCAGCCACTCATCTGACATGGCATCTGTCTCCTCGGTAGGTATTTAACATGTACATCTCACTAGATAGGGTTTCTTGGTCGGATGCAGTGACACTGCATTTAGGCTCATACTGATGATGTGGTCTTTGGAGTATCCTGTATGTTTCTGCATGGTACGTTATTAAAAGAACGATGGATGAACACTTGCTTGTGTTAAAGGGGTGTCTCAAGGTACCGTTTCAAACTAGAGACCCAGTGAGTCACTGTTAGACAAATTCACAATAGACAATAATTCCCATTCCAAAGTGCGGGTGCTCTGAAGCCTGGCAGGATAGAGGGGGGCCTTTTTCTAGGTGGGGAGCTATTAACTGGTATGTTTGTGGTCCAGCTTCAAAAGAGCTGGGACTGCAGAAGGGTGCCTTCTGTAAGCTCCTCCGCATCCAACTCAGAGTTGGACAGCAAAGACATGGTTCAGAGCTTTGACTTCTAAGGAAAACTGAAAAGAGCTGAGTGTATTTAATTGAGTATTTTTAAAAGATTCCTTAAAGACAATGTTTTGGTGGAGTGCTTGAATTCTTCTGTATTACTGTTACAGGTATCTCCAAGGTATATATGTGAGATTTGAAGAAATATATGAAGCAAAGTTGGTAGGGAGAAGTCTTGAATGTAGATAAATATGTTAAAGAAACCCTTGAACTTTGGGACACATGAGCCCTTCTCCTAGTCTGGAGAGTCTGGGAGCTATAAATGAGCCTTTTGTGACAAAGTCACACAGTTCTGATAGATGAGAAGCTCAACATGAGCTGGCAGTGCACTCATGCAGCCCAGAAGGCCAACCGCATCCTAGGATGTATCAAGAGAAGCGTGGTCAGCAGATCAAGAGAGGTGATTCTCCCCCTTTACTCTGCTCTTGTGAGACCCCACCTTGAATACTGCATCCAGTTCTGGTGCCCCCACCGTAAGAGGGACGTAGATCCCCATGACAGGGAGATTGGACTAGATGATCTCTAACGTCCCTTCCAGCCTATGCCATTCTATGATTCTGTGATTCTTTAAAATCTCATTTAGGATTCTCTGCTGGGGTAAGCATCCTGATGAGATGGTAAATGCAGCTCGAAGGCCTGAGAGATGCTTAACAAGTTATTGTAGGTAATGATAGAATGAAATTCAGAACCAAAGGAAGTAGAGGAAGACAAAGAAGAATTGGGTTAATCGCTAGGAAGATTTTTGATAAATGTTCATGACTGTAGCATAGAAAAGTGCCAAGAGGGTTAACTATTTGCTTTGTAAACAGCATCAACTTTTATCCCACTGTTTCATCACTTTCTACCAGTGAAAGACAAGGCCTTCAAAAAAGAAGCCCAAGGCACATGGGCAAGTGCAGTTTGTTCTAGGAAAGCAAGCAACTCTTGGGTGCTGAGCTCCTGATTTATTCCTGTAGAAACCTCATTTTCCTCTGCCTTTGTGGCAAGTAGATGCACAACAGACTGTCTCTGGTGGAAGAGTGGCTCTACAGAACAAGGGTTATGTCTATTTCTGTTTTGTACATCTCCATACACACTGTGAGCAAGCAACAAGATAGTAATAGTTTCCTACATTTCTAGTCTAATATGATTCTTACTAGTCTATTTTAAAAATTGGTCAACTATTGTGTGACTATATCTACCTGAAATAATAAGTTCATATGCAGGGAGTTCAAATTCTCTCCATGTATTTTTTCTGAGTGATGAGACTGAGTCAGAATAGTAGCTGTTTGTACTATAAGCACAAGGAAAGAGAAGAGGCTTGTACAGTCTATCCAGTAATACTTTACTCCATTTCCCAAAGTTTTGAATTTAGGGGTGAAAAATCTTCTGCATTTCTTGAGCATTCAGACGAATAGTGCTTCTAAGTCCTTTTTTTCTAATTCCTGGTCTAGGGTAGCACATCCTTGTGAGACCCTTATTCTGGTTCCCCAACCCTTGCTTGTTTGAGCACAGCTGCGGATGTGGACTGTTTCCATGTCAAGGACACAATACTACACCAGGACAGAAATTGCAGATTATTTCCTTGAGAATGCACTTTTCAGACTATCACTTTTATCTAGAAACCAAGTCAGGAAGATGCCTATTTCAGTGGCACTGACCTTGCTCTTACACCTAGCAGGTGAGTGGCAGTGTGCTCAGTGTCTACAGTGGCGATTTTGGGAGTGTGGATGCCCAAGGTACAGTGGAGTTTGCTCTCGACTATGATGAGAAGAACCGGGAGTTCCAGGTTCATGTGTCCCAGTGCAAGGACTTGGCAGTTGTGGATGAGAAGAAAGGCAGATCTGACCCGTGAGTGACACTTTCGTGCCCTGTGACTTCTACATCACTGAATTTTGTGTTCTGAATGATTTTTTTCCTATGTTTTCTCTTTTTAAATGCCATGATTTCTTCCTTCAGACTTCTGGTGCATGCTTATTGCTTATTAGAACTTGGTGATGCTGAAAAATATCCAGTTGGACTTCGTTTTCTTTTCTAGGTATGTTAAAACTTACTTGCTCCCAGACAAAGCTAAAATGGGTAAGAGAAAAACTTCAGTGAAGAAGAGGACAGTGAATCCCGTTTACAATGAAGTGTTACGGGTAAGAACAAATACATGCTCTGAAAACCTGTGTTGTAGCAGGCACCCATACCAGGTCAGGTCTGGAAGGACCCTGCCTTTTTGACCAGGCTTCTTTGCCTGCCTCCAGACAATGGTGCACTGCTCTTCCCTTGGGTTTGTGAGGGCAGAGATGCTTAAGGTTTCCCTGCACCCATCTGTGCAGCATCTAAGATTTCTCTGGCAAAACCACACCAATGATCTTTGGATGAGATAGGGACCAGCAGCCTGTGCTGCCCTGAGCCAGTGTCAAGGAGTGTTCTCTTCCCCAGCATGCAGTCACGAGACATGGGACTAGTAAGAAAGGTCTTAGTTATATGATCTTATCATCAAAGCCTAGGGGATTATCTAACAATGCCCAGGCTTGTGGTAATAATTCTTGAAAGAATATTGGGTTTGCCCTGTGATGAATGGAGCGCTAAGTTTCTCCATGCTCAGCAGAAAAGCTTTGTCAGGGTAGTAGTATTGCTGCAGGACAAAAAAAGAGGCATTCAGATTGAGGCCAGTCCATTAGTGCATGTGTGGAGTGGGTCTAGTGTCTCAGACAGAATTTATTACAACTTTTGAGTAGTTTATTTCCAGTTGTGAAAGAAACAGAAGAAAAATTTGAACAACCTGACTTCCCTTTCTCCCTCTAGTATAAAATAGAGAAAATGGTGTTGCTGATCCAAAAATTAAATCTCTCTGTTTGGCACAATGATCCACTGGGACGTAACAGTTTTTTGGGAGAGATCGAAGTAGACTTGGCCAGCTGGGACTGGAGCAACAGAAAACCCAACTGGTACCCACTGAAGCCCCGAGTAAGTGTGTCTCAGCTGCAATCCTGCTTTGTAGCCCAATCCTGAAGCCTTTAGGTGTGACAAAAGTCCTTACTGATTCCTCTGAGGTCTTTGAGTGGTGTGGTGGAACAGAACAACCTGAACTGTACCTAGGGAAGTGCAATAAAACACCCACAAGCCCTGGACATATTAGTGCAGTATTCTCTGCTCTGAACACAGGTCTTGTCGGGTCTTATTTCATGACTGTTCTGTAGGGACGCTTTCATAAATGTGATCTGACACTAATCAACAGAGACTCTGACATGACTTTGCCTCTCTCTCTACTCACATGAAGACAATCCCTTAAAAATAGACAGTAGAGTACTAGGTGATGCAGTTGAACATGCCTTGAGAGGTAAATATTCAGATGCCACTTTTTGTAAAGCCTGTACAACTCCCTGTGTGCTTCTGGGTTCAGAGGTCTCATGTGAGATCCCTTTTTACAAAATGAAAGAAATTTGTCTTTCAGAATTAAGATGCTTTATTATGTCCAGCTGGAAATGTCTGGAAGGGCAGCCTTGCCCTGAATCATTAGGCTTTTGGTTCTGAGGGACCAAGTTTGAGAACAAAATCACAAAGAAAGGAGTTGCCCTGAGGACAGACTGCTCCAGCCATGCAAAACCAGAGTTTCTCTGTTTGTGCCCCTCCATTGAACTGAAAAGCCGTTTGCCTTGCTATATTTGCACAGTCCCTTGTTAGTCAATCATAACTCTTTCTGTTTCAGAGTCTCTCTGCTGTTAATGGTGCAGATCATCGAGGAGTGATGAATTTGTCTATTAAGTATGTCCCTCCAGGAAGCCTAGGTAAAGTGCATTCATGCATTAAGAAGTGTTGCCCATATGTAGAAATGCAACTTGCAATGCCTCATCTGTTTAAGTGCTGGTTAATTACTAATCTCTTTAGAGCAAGATCTTAAGAGATCAGCCCAAAGGCACAACCAGCAGTGCTTGATAGCACTATCTGCAGCCTACATTTGATTTTCACATCTGGACATACTGGGAAAGTGTTGGGGAGAGTGGAAGGGCTCAACAACCTCAAACTCATCAGCTGTTACACGCTGTGGGCACTGCAGGCTGCTGTGATGTGGTGGCAGCAACACATAGCCCCTCTTACTGTGGGCACGAGGTTGGGTTTGCACAACAGTTCCTTCTCCTTTCCTGTTTCAAAGCAGCACCTGCACATTGTGTCAAGAGTCCCCTGCAGCTGCAAGTATGACAGGGCTGGTCATCATGTTGTGGCACCCAGGCAGAGAGGTGTACAGCTCCCAAGGGAGTGAGTGTGCAGAGGAGCCATGCTGCTACTCCCTCAGGCTCCTGGAGAGGAAGCCTGTTGTTTTGCTAGCTGTTCTAAGGGCTGGGCGCAACAGTTTTTCTCTTCTCCCAAATGGTAGGTCTCCAGAATCCTCCCTCCGGTGAAGTTCACATTTGGGTCAAAGATGTCAGGGACCTGCTGCAGTTGCGTCCTTCTGGAGTTGACTCCTTTGTGAAATGGTAAGTGCATGGGAGCATGGGATTGACTTTGATCCTGGGTCTGTGCCTCCACAAAGCAGGATGTTTTCCTCTCTTTTCTCACGCTCATCTTGCTATGCCTCCACACTATAAAGCCTTCCTGTTGCTTTGGAGTCTGTAGGAGAGAATTGCCCTTGTTATTTACTTTTCGCCAAATTAGGAAAATCCTTGCTGTGATAAAGCTTTTGGTCAGTCACTCAGTGATTTGCCTCAATAATATCTGAGTGAGAGAAGTATGTGGGCCCTGCACCTTCGTCCAGTGTGTTCACATGAAATTGTGAATTCTGCCTTGATACAGGCTTGTATGGAAAGTTTGGGAATTTGTTAGGGACTTGCCCAGAACTAACCTAAAGATGGTTGGATCCTGTTTTGATCTCCAGAATTTAGTATGTGCATGTTTTCTGCATCCTGAAACATCAGTTCTGCTTGTTATATGGGAGAAGGTGCTGCAAATACTCTAAAAAATTAAAAATCTTTTAAGGGATTTTAAAGATTATTTTAGTACTCTGAAGTGCTCACCACATTTACAGAGTTCTCCTGCAGAAAGGTTTGCTTCTCTGACCATTTCTTAGACATGTAAGTGATGAAAATTTCTAAAAATAGATATATGTGAAAATAGTGTCCATTTTTAATATACAGTGTCAGTCTGCAAGGAAAAAATTGCCAAAAGCAGATAATTTCAAGCAAATACAGAATCACAGAATCACAGAATGTTAGGGGTTGGAAGGGACCTCTGAAGATCATCTAGTCCAACCTTCATCCCAGCATACCTAACCACTACACCACAGCCTCAGGTGCTAGATCTACTTTTTTTTAAACACCTCCAGGGTTGGTGACTCCACCACCTCCCTGGGCAGCCTGTTCCAGTGCCTCACCACTCGTTCAGTAAAGAACTTCCTCCGAATATCCAATCTAAACTTACCCTGATGCAACTTGAGGCCATTTCCCCTTGTCCTGTCATTAGTAATTAGAGAGAAGAGACCAGCACCAGCCTCACTACAGCCTCCCTTTAGGTAGTTGTAGAGGGCAATAAGGTCTCCTCTCAGCCTCCTCTTCTCCAGACTAAACAAACCCAGTTCCCTCAGCCGCTCTTCATAGGGCATGTTTTCCAGACCTCTCACAAGCCTTGTTGCCCTTCTCTGCACCTGCTCCAGCACCTCAATTTCCTTCCTGTACTGTGGTGACCAAAACTGGACACAGTACTCGAGGTGAGGTCTCACGAGTGCCAAGTACAGGGGCATGATCACCTCCCTTTCACACTTCCTTTCTGAAAGTGTTTGGTTTTAAAAATTATATTCTTGGCCAAAAAAAAAAATTCACCCAGGAATTATAAACATTTCCCATTAAATATACAGAAATTTCTTATGTTGAGACCAAATTCTTCCTTTCTTCAGAACCGAGGCTTGTTTAGACCAATGAACTTTGTAGGAACAATTTGAATCTCAGGTGATATTCAGTACTACATGCTGTATTTTTTCTCCTCTCAAAGCTATGTGCTTCCAGACACCAGTAAGAAGAGTTACCAAAAGACTCGAATCATAAAAAGAGATACAAACCCTGTTTTCAATCACACTATTGTATATGATGGCTTTCATACGGAAGACCTAAAGGACGCTTGTGTTGAACTGACTGTGTGGGATCACGAAAAACTTACCAACCATTTCCTTGGAGGAATCAGGCTGGGCCTTGGGACAGGCAAGTGATTTCCTTTACATTAAATGTATACTGATGCCATATTCCTGAGCCAGAATGCATAGTGGGAAGTTGCAGAGCATTTTCCTGTTGGGGGAAACCAGGAATGGAGAGTGTCAGTAACTGGTAAGAATCTTGGTACTTGCACTGTGTCTGGGCTGGAGGGGACTGTGGTACCACGATAACAACCCGCTATTGCCATTTTCTGCCAACATCAGCTCTGAGGTCTGGCAAAACTCAGGAGTCTTCTTGGGTCCATCAGAGAGTTCTGCTGCTGTTATAGGAAAGCAGGCTACCGTACAAGGCAGTATGCTCCTCCCAGGGAAGAGTGCTCAGAGATGAAGAAAACACGAATGCCGTGTGGGACAGCACCACCTGGTGACTCCGTCCACTTCACCTCCTCCTTTTGAAATGCTTTAGTAGCTGGAATAACTAATATTTGAAAAACGGGGCAAGCTACACTAGTTGCTCTCGTAGGTAATCAGTACTGAGAGTACATCAGCTGGAGTTAAATCGTAAATTGAAAAAATGAAGTTGTCTATGTATAGACTAAGGTGTTAATTTTTTTATTTTGTTTTTACTTAGATGATGCAGATGAAAAACCTCAGTAGAGGTGCCATTTGCCGCACTGGGAGACAGTCAGTGTCTCTGGGAGGTGATGGCACGAGGTTCCAGTTCAAAAAAGGACTTAGACCTGTGCTTAGCTGGAAGTGTTTTATTTCAGTAGGGTTCCTCAATCTTGAAGTTAGGAAAATTCAGGTATTTTAAGACAGTTTTAAAAAGCAGATGAGACCATCTCCCATTGCCCATCTGCGCAGCTTCAAGCTTTGTCCCTCTCTAAACATCCTTTCCTAGCTTTCAATGTGCCCCATACCTAGGCTTTGACAGATAGCATATTCATCTTTGTATTTTTGTAAGTGGGATAGCTAAGGTTTTCTAAACTATTTCTTATTAAACAAGAAAGTTCCACAAGAGATGACAGACAAACAGAAGATTTCTCAATGTTGCAATAAAGTGTTAGTGTTCCTTGAGGGGATGAGGGAAACGCTCATAGTAGCTGAAATGTCTACGGTGCACCTATGTTTATTGGATTTGTTTATATGTTCTCTGTTTTCAGTCTCTTGACATGTCACCAGGAGAGTTGTGAACTATCCAGTGGGAAGAGGGAAACAAGAATAAGCTCATATGCAAGATATACAAATACCAATCCCAAGATAAGCTGTGATCCAAATTTAGACCTTTATCTCATTGATAGGTAGTTGGCATGTGAAAATTTGTTTGAATAATTGACTGGGAATTAATGTACATACTTTTCATTATTGTATGTTTGATTCCTATACAAAGGAAGCATGGAACAAGAGAATTTAGACAAATAACTCCACTCTGTCCACAAGAAAATCTTTTAAGGGGAAACTAAGCCTTTTAGACCTTCTTTACCATTCTGAAAGTTGCAGAAAGGGCTTGGGCTCAATATAGTTGTCCTTGGCAGGTTCTGTTTAGGATTCTTAACATTTGTGGCTTTTACTTGTCTTCATTCTAAACCCTGGTGTAAAATGGAGTTCATTACCAGAAGAACAGGAGGTGTTTGGAGTGCAACAGGAGGTACTTAGAGTGCAGCTTTAGGTCAGCACCTATTATATCAAGACACTGCCTGCAACAATTGCATCCCATTGACTATTTGTGCATGGAGTAGAAGCTCTTTGTGTAGCTCCCAATGTTGTAGTTCTGTTGTTCTTTACAGGTTTGAGCTATGGCATCTCTGTGGACTGGATGGACTCCACGCAAGAGGAGGTGGCCTTTTGGCAGGAGATGATGTTGGCTGCCAATGAATGGATTGAGGGATTGCTGCCACTGCGCTCACTGGCAGGGAGGAAAAAACTGAAATAACTACCATCTGTGCCATATAAAGGCTGAATGTGTTCATTAGAGTTAGGAAATTTCCTGCACTGGGGTGAAGAAACCATTCATGGGCTGACAAGTGTCAGGTTCATAAAGCAATTGACAGACGTCACTTTGGAGATGTTAAATGTTAAGTACAAGTTCCCTGACAGAGGACATGGAAGATGCCAAACTCACACTTGATTTTGACCAAGAAGAAACTTAATATTCCTTTTAATTCAATCATGTATATTCAGTATCCTTGAATTCTCTTTAGCTCTGGGAACACTGACAGAAGGAAAGGGAGGTATAGGTGTTTTTATTTTTTTACTGTTTCTTGTGCCATTTTTTTTTCTGTACAGAGATAAAGTTGTACTAAAGCAGCAGCATGGTGTTATTCATATTCCCCTGCAAGTGGTACCGTCATACTTGGTATAGTCACCAGCAATCACAGTCTGAGAATCGGAGCCTTGCATTTGTGGCTGGTGATGACACACCTCTAACATGAGGAAAATTGAGATCCAAGGTGAATCCAAAGGAAGAGGGGACTATCTGAAACAGAAAACAAAGCCATGGAAGGAGGATAACTACGAAGAATTAAATATATTAATTTCTTTCTGCTTTAGTGTGAAAGAGAGAAGTGATGGTCCTGCAGCTAGTGGTACTTTGCAACCAGGGGCTGTTTTCCTGATCTTCCCACAGGCTTCCTCAATAACCTCAGGCAAGTTTCTCTATGAAAGGACAGTTTCAGTGCAATATAAAATAAAGAGCTTGCCCAAGTGTAAAACATAGTTACATCACTGATGGGCCTAGTTGCACCTTTGAAATGTGTCTGTGCAAAACATTTCAGCATGAAATAGTTATGTAGAAAATAGTCTTACATTTGCCTGGCACAAAAGGTCAAGAAAGAAAGGTTAAAAACCACAATGGAATGCAGGAGATGTTGGCAATCAGTGGGAGAGGTAAGTAGGGAGAGAACGAATGTGAAGGGTAGCTGCAGAGCTATGGATGTCTGTGGTGGTCTCCTGACTTTGCCCTTCTAGTGCTCTTCTCACCTGATGCTGGTCAGCAAGTTGTCTGTGGCTGGAATTTCCTTTTTGGCAGTAGCTTGCCAGAACTTTGCAGCTGCCACATTGACCATGGCAGAGTGGCTTTCTGCATGCATTTTTGAAATGCAGCTTTGTATTTTGTATTTTGGATGTACATATTGTGATTAAATAGAATGTTTTTCTTTAGTCATCAACTGGTCTCCTTGTACCTTTTTTTATCGCAGCCTGAGTAACGAAAAAGCAAAAGAATGATGTCAAAATGAAGCATTTTTGCCCAGAGAAGAGAAATGTCACGGAGAAATATTTTTTGCAGCTATCCTACCCTTGATTTTAGTTTTGTGTATATTTCGATACTCTTCTTCAGTGTAATGATTTTATTTACCTCAAGCTCAGTGTAAATTTTCAGCTTAGCAAAAATGGTTGTAAATAAATAAATGGAAAAATTTACACTTAAAATTACAAGACTTGTAAAAGAAATTAAGGCATTTGTGATATAATCAGAAGCTTTCATGGGAAAAAAAATAAAGAAGATGGATTTGCAATTGGAAAAAGATAATACTTGAAAATGTACCAGTCGTAGTACTGAAAGCACTGAGAGTCTGTAGAGCAGCAGATTTAAATAACAACTATATCACGGAGATTGTGATATATATATCTATAGCATGTCAGTCCAAAGACATTTTGTATGGGCTCCAGCCTGGCATGTTTTGTTCATGAAGGTTTGGTCATTTATTGCCTTTGTGGGATAAAATAACAATATTGGGCCTGAGAGTTTTAAAATTATCTTTGCCTATTTAGGTGCCTAACATGTGAATATTTATGCATACATATAACTTTCCTACTACAAGGAGCCCTGCTCAGTGGAACAGTGGCTCATTGCAGTGAAGTTACACACTTCTGCTCTCACTCCAAGTGCTTCCCTATCCCACAGGGTGCTCTCTGGGGTTGGGGAATTTCTGCTGCGAAAGCCATCAGTAATGCCAGGGCTTTTGGCTTGAGCAAGTCAGGGTCCCCTATGTTCAGCTGACTCTTGTCCACCACAAAAACGGAGTCATCCCTCCTCCTCTTCTTTCTCCTCCTCATGTGCAGTATTAGCACATGGTTGCAATGATGTTGCTAAAACTGCTGTTTGCATTAACCAAGCTGTAAATGATTGTGTTGATATTTCAGAAAATTAATGTCTTTTTTCCCTGGTGGTGCCAATAAGGGAAGAAAAAGAGGATCAGTGAGCCATTTTTATCCCAGCGCAGCTGCTTTTGTGAACTTGGCCCAGGGTTGTGTGAACGGACTATTTTTGCATCCAGCTTCCATTCAGTATTGTTGTTAATCTTTCAGTGGCTTGTTCATTTAAACTAAGCCCTGATTAACTTAAGAAGCTTTCTTTGGTGTTTAAGTGTTTATCAGAATAAAAGATTACACTGCCAAACCATGTCCACATTTGTAACACAGCTGTACCTGAGGTAGCAAAATTTGCTCGATCTTCTTAATATACAAACCTCGGTATCTACAGTAGAGCTGGACAGTTGCTTTCCATAAGTATTCTGCATGTGAGTGGGAATGTGTTTCCTCTGAGTTTACGCCTTACTTATTTAACATTTTCTCAGGAACCCTCCAAGCAAATAAACAGGAGAGAAAGCAAGAGTCTAGAAATTATTTCTGCCCCATCAGGCAAATATATATGTGGTCTATGTCCATTCAAAACCATTCAAGTTACAGATATCAGAAACTATTGAAAATAGCTTGGAAGCTAACTAAAAATGAGAAAGAAAGAATTGTTGAATCTTGACCAACCACACTTGGAGCCAGACTCTTTTCAGCAGTGCCCTATGACAGGACAAGAAGCAACAAGTACAAGCTGGAACACAGGAAGTTTCATTTAAGTATTCGGAAGTACTTCTTTACTGTGAGGATGACAGAGCACTGGAACAGGCTGCCCAGTGAGGTTGTGGAGTCTCCGTCTTAGGAGACTTTCAAAACCCACCTGCATGCAATCTGTGTGATGTGCTCTAGGCAATCCTGCTTTAGCAGAGGGGTTGGACTAGGTGATCTCTACAGGTGCCTTCCAACTCCAACAATTCTATGAAACATCCAGTGAATGAGTGTCGCAGAGGTGATGGAAAAGAAGTAACTGAATTAATTACACGTTACTCAATATTTGCTCAGCTTTTCATTCAATAAGGAAAAAAAAATCAAGCATGAAGGACATTCAGGGAGTTACACTGGCTAAATAAACCCATGTAATAATGGGATCTGTTGAAATAAGAAATGCTGTCTTTTTGCAAGCTTGTTAAACTAAATCAAAAAGTGTATCAAAAACTGAATAAATAAACACACTCCAGTTCCTGATAACTAAGACTGAGCATATTCAGCACCAGGTTTGGCTGTTTGTTTTAGTTGGCTGTTTTGTACTTTAGTATCTTTCATGGCTTAATCCTTTTTCTTTTCCACCTGCCTCCTTTCCATTGTGTCTTGGTCATCTGCTATTACTGATAAAACAGATGCCCAGGAAGAGATGTCCCTCTGTGCACTGTCATGAACGTTGTCAGAAGACTTTGCAAAGCTCACTGTAAAGCACAATGCAAAAGCATGTTTACAAAGATGCTGTGTTACTGGAGCTGTATCACTACTGCGCAAGATTCTACAGAGCTATGGAAAGTTCTTGAAACAGAAATCGCTTCCCATGGGGTCAGTCAGAACTAGCCACTTTATCTCACAGGCTGCATTTTCTGGGATGCTTCTTGTAGTGGTGGTTCTGCCACAAGGAGGAGGTCTCCCAGGTTCACGGGGTCACAGGAGGACTCTGAGCATGTTCTGGTACTGTGGTACCAGCTCCTAGCCTGTTGTGAGCAGGCAATGACTGATTTGTAGCAATGATGTTTGAACAAGAGCAGGCAAGTCCAGGGTGGCTGTTCTCACTTTGGGGGCATTTGCCTACTTCTCCCAACTTTCTGAATATGATAGTTGGTTCGAGTGTGCTAGATCAGCTCAAAGCAGCACAAAAACTGACCATTAGCCTCCAGGAGGCCCATAGAGGAATTACTTTTAATGGCTTGCAATGACATCTCTTCCTTCAGAGGGAGGGACAGGCACAGTGGAAAGCTAGAAGTGTCTCCTAGGGCCTTTACAGGAGTTCAGCAGCCCTGGACCAAGCTCCTTTCAGTTTCGCATTAATTTTCCATTCACTCAGCTGAAATGCCTCATGTCAGAGAGTAAAATCTGGATGAGGTTGGGTGAAGATACAAGCAGGCAGCAGCATCCTAGGAAGAGTGGAGGAACAGGAGCAGGGTCTGAGCTTGCCAGGTTTGCTGGTCACACCAGGTTCTCACGGAGGGCTCTGGTT